CGGCCCACCGGGTGTCTTGCCGTTTTCTTTTTTACTTCAAAATAAGATATGTGCAGTGTGCATAGTTATTTGTTCATAGTTATTTTTTTAAACTACAGACCGGCCCTCCAACGGTCTGAGGGACAGTGAACTGGCCCCCTGTTTAAAAAGTTTGAAGACCCCTGGTGTAGAGGTTCTTTGCCTCCCACAGTCTTCTGAAAAACTCGCCACACCGTCCTCAAGAGCATCTTTGCTCCCTTCATGAACATCCACAAGGAACACCAACCGTTTCCACAACCCTTCCTCCTCCCATCTCATCCCTAAGCCTGAATGCAGAAACTCTTTAAAAAAAAATTAAAATGGCAAGTTCATTCAACCCTTTCTCCACAACAGGTAAGGAACAAAGCCTCCCCTTTAGTGGTGGAAGATACCGGATATACTAGTATAAATAAGCCAACCCGGATATCAGCCGAGGCACCTAATTTTACCACAAAAACTGCATTTAAAGTGTGCTGGAAAACTCGACTTATACACGAGTATATATGGTACTTCATAGGATCACCATCAAAACAGATCACCCACGACCTCACTCTTGGCCAGAACAAAAGTACATGATGTCATCAGCAAGGAAAAGCTTCCGACTGCACTGTCAGTCACCTTCAGCATCCAAAGGAAGACAATGAATTTGAGTAAAGAGGGCAAGGCTGGAAACACAACTGGAAGAAGAAAGCAACCCTACTGAAATAGACAAACAACGAAGACAAACTGCAGGCTTCGTTGTATGTACAGCCTGTAAGATAAATACTTTTAAAGACAGTGAAGAGTAAAAGAAAGTGTCTTTTTCTTGATCACGTGTCAGAAAGCACACTTCTGCTTCTGACAGTCAGATTCAGGTGGCTAGCAGTTAGGGGAACCCTGAAGAGCCTTACTGGGCAATGTGTTTGAAATTATTCAATCTACCAGAGTACAATGCTAAAAGCACTCTAGACCCATTCATGATAAAGAAGGGAACACTAGTGGAAAGACTGATGAGGACCGACATCAGACACATGCTCAGACAAATGAAACTGGTTTAGCACTGAGGAGCACTCACTGCTCAAATGCACTACAGTCAGCCTGCAGGGAGAACTGGAAGATGGTGACATCTTTTGTGCTTGTTGCTGCTGCTGTTGTTAGGTCCAGTCAGGTTGGTTCTACATAGCGACTGTATGTGCAACAGACCCTTGTTCAAACCTTATCTGGCCCTGTGCCAACCTCACAATTGCTGTGTTTGAGCCCACTGTTAAAGTCACTGTGTCGATCCACCGCTCTTGAAAGGCAGAAAGCCAAAGTCTGAAGTAGGATTGCTACACACTTGTTGGAAAACCAAAATCTGCACACCATGAACAAGGAAGCCCAGGTAGAGAGAGAAGCCCTCCGTGTCCCTGTTGGGAGTGGGGGAGGCACGCAAAGAACGACCAAGAAAAACACACAGATCCCTCTAATCTCCTGTATTAGTCTGGGTACTTTGGAGAAACAAATCCACAGCAACTCATGGATAAGAGAGAGTTTTATGTAAAGAAAATGTGCATCACGAAAACATCCCAACCCAATGCTCCCCAAGCCCACAAGTCCAACATTAACCCATTAACCCAACACCAGTCCACAAAGTCCTCCACCCCACAAAACAGAGGCAATAATGCCGACTGCAGGAGGAAAGCTGAGTCAGTGAACGAACAAGCATCTCAGCACTAGCAGGGGTCTCCACATGGCTGCTCCAGCACCCAGGGCTGCATCGGGATAGGTCCATGTAGCTTCTCCTTGGGGATGTCTTGTATGAAGTCAATCTTGCAAGCTGAAGCAGGGAACTGCTAAGGCAGCTGCACCCTGGTGCAACAACAAAAAACAAAAAAACCGAAAAACCAAAAAGCAGAGGCTCACCACCCATTTATCCCTCTGCCTTTCAATTAACCCCACATGTGATTACCGGCCAGGTTGGGACAATTAACTAACTCATCTCCATAATTTATTCTCTTTCCACTGTGGCACTTCTGACTCTAAAGACCCCAATAATACAGGGTTTCCCAGAGAGCAGACAGCTTCGTCTTTCTCTCTTAGAGCAGCTTTGGCATCAGCAGCCCTCTCCACAAATGAATAAAGCCAAATGCTAAGCAGTTTCATTAGCACATCTTTGGTTAATATATTTGTGATCTAAGTCATCGGTTCTCAACCCATTTGGAGGACGAATGACCCTTTCACAGGGGTTGCCTGATTCATAACAGTAGCAAAACAACAATGATGAAGTAGCAATGAAAATAATTGTATGATGGGGGGTCACCACCACATGAAGAGCTGTAGGAAAGGGTCGCGGCATGAGGAAGTCGAGAACCACTGGTCTAGGTGAACGAGAATGCTACATCACACAAGGGAGAACGCGCCCGCAGTGAGCTCCCTCGGCTATGAGAAGTAAACACTGGGTGAGGGTGCGCAGCTCACCAGGATGGCCGCAGTGCTACAATTCCAGAGAAATTAGCTTTGTCTTTCTAATTTTCCGCAGGTGTCGCTTTTCTTCAAAAGGAGCTGTCTGTTTTCACCAAAGGGGCGGGGTGTAGAGAAATAGCAACGATAGTTCCATTTCATGGAAGAAGAAGGGAGAAGAAAATATATATTGAGAGATCAATACATCAGTTCCTCTCCCTGAAAGGGCAGCTGGTTCAAGCGCTTCATCCACCTCTGCAGCGGCGTCAACTCTGAAGCCGAGCTCCATGGTAAACTCACTCCACCTCCGGTCGCTGGCATGACGGCAGGAAAGGCATTTGGAAGTCACCCTGCTCCCCATTTGCTGAAAGGCTCAGAGCAGGGGAGTGGGAACACGAAGGAGCGCAGGAAATCAGGACAGAGAAAGAAACCTGCGTGTGCTCACCCTCTGCAGCTAAAGGGGGCCGGCTCCGCGGGCAGCACTAGCCAATCAAATGCCCGTGTGTTTACACAGGACCTGGGACCTGAGGGTTCGTTTGCTTCATTTTTTCCGGGATTTCAGGATAACTTGTCACACACCCACCAAAGGGGTGGGCGCTACAAAGGCTAATTGTCAGGAATGGTCCGCCGGCTGCTCTCTCTCACCTCACAAGCAAGTGGATGAACGAACGTCATGAGCAAGCCCCCATCAACAACCGGAGGTGGCCATCTTCCGAGCCCACCCTGTAACCACGCTGCTGTCCGCTGCTGTAGGAGCCCTGGTGGTGTAGAGGTTACACAAGTTCAAGGGGCGCAGTTCAAAACCACCTGCATCTCGGAGGGGGAAAGAGGAGGCTTTCTACTCCCGTAAACAGTTACAGTCTCGGGAACACACAGGGCGTCACTATGAGTTGGTATCAACCTGATGGCAGCAAAGGTTTTGGGGGGTTTTTTGGTTTCGCTTTGTTTTTTTTCTTATTACAAGAGGAGCCCTGGTGGCATAGGAGTTATGAGTTGAAGTCCTAACTGCAAGGTCAGCAGTTCAAAACCACCATGCGTGCCTAGGGAGAAAGGCAGTTTTCTACTCCCATGAAGAGTTACATTCTCAGGAAGTCACAGGGGCAGTTCTAAAACTACAAGGTCAACCCACCAGCTGCCCCCTAGGAGAAAGATGTACAGCCTCAGAAACCCACAGGGGCAGTTCCACCCTCTCCTATAGGGTCACTGTGAGTCAGAATCGATTCAACAGCCAAGTTTTCTTGTTTGTTTGCTTGCTTGTTTTTTCATTGATCCTGTCACAAAGGACTGGCGGCACTGTAGGATACACACTGGACTACTAGCCAGAAGGTCAGTGGTTCAAATCCACCAGCCACGCTGTGGGAAAAAGTTGAGGCTCTCAGCTCCCATAAAGCCTTACAGTATCAGAAACTGCCTCAAGGGTCACTGAGAGCCAAAATCAAATTCATGGCAGTGGGTTGGATTTGGGTTTGCTTTGCTATTACAAGGAGTCCCTTTGCGGTACAATGGGTTAGACACTTGACTATTAATCCAAACGTTCGAATCTTCCCTGGGGCACTTCCACAGGAAGGCCCGGCCATCTGCCCCTGAAAGTTCCCAGCTGTGAAAACAAGGCAGTTGGCTACTTGATTTTGTGCCTGTGTGCTCCCTGGCAGAAAAGCTGTAGGTTGAGGCTGGGCCTTCTATGGGAGTGGGAGCCCTTACGCAAATGAGTCGCAAGTCAAACACAAAAGAGACCGTGGTCAAATGGCTCTATTATGCCTGCCCGCGTCTCCTTGTCTCACGACATTGAAGAATCTGCTGACTTCTATACACCGAGTCAAAGGAGTCTGTCACAAGTTCTTAAAATGTGGGGGGTCACTCCACCACCTCTTCATCCCATCAAAGAGCACCAGCAAAGGGGCAGGTTCGAGCCCGTGCCACAGTGCCTGCAGGCAGCCGTGCCCGTGGTGAGAAAATCAGCGGCTCCCCCGGAAATGACGTTGCACAGTGAGAACGTGCAGCCATGGAAGAAGCAGTGCTTTTCTGAAAGTGAAGCACACCGCTGGGGAGGCCTTTGTTACTTGTTTATGCAGCCAGGTCACACAGTCCAGCTGTGGGGACCAGTCATCTCTGGGCCAGTGCTAAGCTGGGAACCCCCAGACCTTGTAGGTGGTGCACGGAAAGACGGGGATCACAGAGGACGAACTGAGTGACCAAGACAGGTAGCTTTGTGTTTGGCTATTTTTAAAACACGGGAAAAGAAGGCACCACAGCGTGGACAGCCTAGGTGGTTCTGTTTTTAAAGTAGCAATTTAAAAATTCCAAAATGGACTATTAAGTCCTGGGCACCAAGAAAGTCATTATGCAGAACCTATCCCTTACCCGCTGGGGTCCAAGGTCATGAAGATTCACAATACCTCTTATCAACCCTAACGTGTGACAGGGAGCGGTTTGCACGATTTTGAAAGGTGCGTGCGTGTACGACAGGAGGAAAAACACCCCCAACTGAGCCACTCAGACCCACCACCCGCTTCCCGGCCTCACAAAAAGCGCTCAGAGCCGCTTTTCCCTGGCCTTGAACTCACTCGGTCTTTGTCATCTGCTACATCACAGAGAATGTCATCAAGGTCTAGGATCCCTCCATCTCCATGCTCCAAGCGGTGCACCTGTATCCAGTAGTTTGGATCCTGCACAAAAGGAGAGAAATTGTGCAAAGAGCAAGTTAGTACCACCAAAGGGGGATTCAACAATATCAAATGGGATCACTTTCTACCCATAAAGGGGACCCAACTCAGCCCCGCCCCCCCACCAACACACCCACAAAATACACTAGAGTTGATTTTAAATCCCGGTTGCTCCTGATGGCTGGGATTCCATTTTCTCTTTCTTTTATGCTGGATCCACTCATGCACTCCTCCCTCTGGCATCGCAACAGCAACGGCAGGAGCCGGCAAAACTCACTACACCAGAAATACCGATTTATCAACGCACACTGGCTTTCCCACCCTCCAACATGAAGTTGTGTAGTATGAAGCCTCTAAATGCAACCTATACAAATAGTCAAACAAGCAAGAGGCACACAGGGCTGAGGGGGGGAAGGCTTCAAAGAGCCTGTTCGTTCTTTTCGTTCCATTCACCAATGAACTTTGTGACACTCCGTAGTGCGTTATTGCGTGCCTGAAACATCCACAGTAGAGGCCATCTGTGACAAGCAGCAGACCCTGGGGGGTCACGGAGCCCCCTACAAACAGATCGGAGGATACTGACAAAGGAAGATGCTGCCGAGTGCATACGGTTACAAGCAGCGCTCAGAACAACGTGCGTGGTGTGGGCCTACTTTAGTGAAGGCAAAATTACATGCACATGTATGACACCGGGTCAGACCTGACTCATCCAGACTCCACAAACAGCAAAAAGAAGCACTGCCCCGTCCTGCCCACGCCCACCACCAGTCCCCTGCTGGACCCCATCGGTGTAGCCACTGTGCCAATCCATCTCAAACTGTGGGTCTCGACCCCTTTGGGGGGTGGGGTCGAACAACCCTTTCACAGGGGTCACCCGATTCATCATAGTAGCAAAATGACAGTGATGAAGTGGTAACAAAAATAATTGTGTGGTTGGGTGGGGGTGGGTTCCACCACAACATGAGGAACTGTATGAAAGGGTCACGGCATGAGGAAGGTTGAGAACCGCTGCCTTACAAGTCTTTGTCACTAACGCTTTACTTTATCAAGCTTGATGCCCATGTCCAGGGATTGCCTGTCTGGAGAACATGTTTAAAAGTATGAGAGTCAGGGTGAGTCTGTGCTTGTTTCTAGCTATACTTCCTCCCTCCAATATCGATTGGCTTGTTCTCCTGGCAGTGCGCGGCACATTTAATATTCGTCCCCGCACTGCAACTCAAAGGCCCCACATCTTCCAGCCTCAGTGTTCACGGTCCACCTTTCCTGGGGCTCTGAGGCAGCTGTGAAGACCATGCTTCCGTCAGGTGCATCTCGGTCCTCAAAGTGATGGGTTTACTTTTTGATGTTTTAAAAAGGTCTTTTACAGCAGATTAGTCCAATAAAACTCGACCTTTGATTTACTGGCTACTGCTTCGCCGAGGGTGGTTGTGGATCCAGGGAAAATGCAGCATTCTTCTGAATGTAGCCCGGCTTTTAGGATCATTCACTCAGGATACAGAAGGACTAAGCATAATACAAAGATGTAACCCTGATGCACGTTATTCTTAATTCTAAACCACAGTATCCCCTTATTCAGTTCCAACAACTGAGTTGTGGTCTACATACAGACTTCGCGCAAGCAGTTGTCTTGGATAACCCAGTCTTCACCCTGTTATCCATAATATATTATGATCCACACAGGCAAATGCCATTACACAGTCAATGAAACACAAGTAGACTTCTTTTGGGAATTCTCTGCTTTCAGCCAAGATCACAATGATATCCCTCATCATGCATCCTCTTCTGAATCCACGTTTTATTTCTGGTAGTCACCTGTCAATGTACAACTACAACTCTTCCTAAATCATCCTCTGTAAAATTTGAGTTGTGTGTGATGTCTATTATATTGCTTATGATTTCTGCATTCTTTGGGCTGCCTTTCTTTGGAATGGGCCAAAAACATGAATCTCTTTTAGTGGGTTGGCCAGGTTCCAAATGTCTTGCATAGACTAATGAGTGCTTCCACATTGCGTTCATTTGTTGAAACATCTCAGTTGGCATTCTGTCAATCCCTAGACCTTGTTTGGTCACCCGTGCCTGCGGTGCCGCTTAGATTTCTTCCATCGGTTCCTGCTTAGACACTACCTCCTGAGATGCTAGACCGTCACCCTGTTCTTTATGGTAGAGTACGTCTGTGTATTCTTTCTATCTTCTCTTCATGGACCCTTCATGGTTCAATATTTTGTCCAAAAAATCCTTCACTGTTGAAACTCGTAGCTTTTTTCTTCAATTCTTTCCGCTTGGAGCAACCCCTTTAAGTTCTCACTTAACTTCAACATCAGAATCCTCTGGCTCCCAATCGTTGTCCTACACTTCCCCTTTCAGAGATGGCATCAAGCCCTGACATGCTCTCTTGGCCCCCACCATCAGGGCAACCCTGGACGGCCAATGCCTAGAGCTCTACGTGACCAACTGGACTGGCTTCTTCCTACCCATCAAATCTTCCCAGTCATCCCTTTCTTTAAGAATTTCTCCTGACCATCACAACCTCGAGCTAAGTTAGAAGTCTTTCTCCAGCCTCTCTCTTAAAATCCAAACACCCAACCCATTGAGTCCATTTGGATGCACAGCACCTCTGTGTAGGGTTTCCGAGACTATTGGTCTTTACAGGAGCACGTAACTCATCTTTGTCCCTTGGTGAGCAAGTTGGGGGTGTGAAGCTTCAACCCTGCAATCAGAGCTCCATTCAAAGAGGCCAGTGTTTTGTTGCTACACATGCTAACAGCACAGCAGAAAAACTCTACAGCCTCCAATTCTCTGATCGTCTTTATTACTGTTAATAATTTTATTGGCATATAATTTACATATTCAGTGGTTTAATTGCTCATTCATATCAAGGAGAATTGTACAATCATTATCACGTTGAATTTAGAACATCCCCTCCCCCATGGTTAAATCGCCATTAAAATGAGCTGTGCAACTAAAATCCATTCTTGGGCTCCCTCCCCCCTCCCTCCCACCTTCAGTTTTACTGAAAAGGGAAATCCCCTTCCCTCCCCCCCACCTCCTCTGCATCCCCTATCAACCTTACTATCAGTTATTAGCACTATCCATCCAGTCCTCCTGTGCTTCCCAAACTGGGAAACCCAACAGAAACAATAGAAGACAACATCAAAATAAGGTGGTAAGGATAAAATAATAATAATATAAAGACAAAAATACAAATATGAGTCAGAAAGGAAAGATCTCCATCAACATTCAAAAAGGCAGGGAAGCAATTTCTGTCATGGAAGAAGTAGGAGAGGCTTGCACCCAGAACAATTCAGGTCAGGTCTATAGGCAGGTTGACTGGACAAGTGTCAAGTTCAATCCAGCATAGTCCAGATGACAGTGGGCTCTGCCTGACGGTGAGGGGTTCGAGACGCTCCCTGTGGCTGGAGCGGATCTGCCAGTGGCTCAGTCGGACTACATACTCTGCAGGTGGCTTTTGGGTTCCCACGATCCTGTGCAGTCCTGCCACGGGTTGGGTGTTCACGATTTTAGCTCTGATGCTTTTCCCTTCACCATTTTTGAATTTTCTGATTGTCATTTTTGGATTAAACAAGCTGGTGATCCTCTTTACAACCAGTTGTGCTGTTACTGTTTTGTTTTAAGGATCGTCTAGATTTGTCTCGAATTATTCTCTTCCCATAAGCTTACTGCAGTTGGGCTTCCTCCAAGCACACTCCCCAAAGCTATTTACCTAGATCACCAACAACTTCCATGGTACTAAATGCAGCTTATGTGTCCTCTCAGCTGAATTTGACACCGGTGGTCATTTCCCCCTTGCTGAAATACTCTAGCAACTTGGTTTTCAGTCCTGCCACTCAATGTTCAAGGCTTGTCTAATTCTGGAACTCGGAGTTGTTGATACCTACCTCCTCCTTGGTGGGTCCCGCTTCAAAACTCAGCTCTGCCAAGTAGTCATGACAACATCATGCCGGTGCACACAGCAGGCTGGCATTAATTAAATGCCACTCCATAAATATGTGCTAACTGGAAATGACTCTTAGCAGAGAGGGAACCAAGAGACAGATCATCAGTAGTACTGACAGAGCATGTGGTAGGACACAGGTCCGATCTGAGCAGTGTAGCCAACAGTGACCTGCTCCACTCACAAGAGTATAAAGACAACCAGAAAAGGCATTTTTCCCACCGAGAGGCACAGGACGTTGGGGCAGTAGAGCCCAGAGAGTAGTTGGCTGGCATTCTTCAACACAATTCTCTTTCAATAAACCAGCTGTAACTTCAAGGAGTTGGTCAAGTAGCCAATCTGGAAGAAAAGGTTTTCTGGGAAAAGGGGAGCCCACTTGCTGATTCCATTCTAGGCTAGTTTGCATTTAAAAAGAAAACAGTATGACTGATAGAGTGGCTCCCCACCACCCTGGCTGCAGAAACTTGAAAAATGTAACTGAACAAAAAGTTGTGAGGAGCCACTTTTGACAATACTAATAAGCAGTAGTAATTCTACAACGAGTGTGGTGCCCGCCCACCGCTGGGTTAAAAACATGACTCATAATTTTTTTTAATGTTTTCGTGTTTCTTATTTAGAATGTTATTTAAAGTAAAAAAATGTTTGAAAACTTACAATTTTACATGAAAACAACTGGACTGCGGTCCCGTAGGAGCCGCTAACTGGAATGACGTCAACAAATGCACTACGTGCTTGGTCAGTGGACTTACCAAGAGGTGACTCTCCAGGCCAAAGCTCTCAAACTCAAAACCACAGTGGCCCCTATAGGCCAGGAGAGAGAAGTGCATCTGCGGCTTTCCAAGACTGTCAACTCTTTACTACAGAATAGCTTCATCTGTCTCCCAACAGCATGGCTGGTTGCTTCAAACTGCTGACCTTGTGATTACCAGCTTCACTCACAACCCCCCAGGACTCCTTTGCTAAGCTTTAGGATGAGGAAGGAAACAATACCACTCCCCAAACCACCGCGTATCACTCAGATAATCAAAGAATAGGAACAGGGACCTGGCCAAGCGCTAGAGGACCTCACCTCTGGTGGTGATATGGCAGAGCAAAGATTTCTAATTACACTAGCTGAGAATGTAAATATTGGTGAGGGCTCAAGATACAAGTTTCAAGGAATGCTGAAGCCAACTCTACTCTAGAGACAAAGCCAGAGAAGCAAAGCAGGAATGTAATAAAAGGTGAACATCTATCTCACCTGTCAGACATCTCTCACATCCCATTTAAAAAAAAAAAGCTTCACATTAGGCAACAGGTTATGAGCTTTGCCTGTGACATGGGCACTGTGTCGTGTGGCGCCTCTGCAGACCTCATGCTGGTCGAGGTGCAGAAAGAGTGTTAGCCATGAGGGACAGTGCCCTCCCTATTCCTGAATCGACAGGGGCTGGTGACAACGGTCAACGGCCGGGCAAATCTCCCAAAGAACGAATGTGTAAATCTAAGGCTAGGCAAAGGCGGCAGTTCATACGGAGCCAACACGCCACTGAGCATTTACTATGCCAAAAGCACCGACTGAGAGCAGCGCAGCCAAGTCTCGGATTCAAAATGCACTTGGTCCAAGCTGAGGCAGACGCCAATAATCAAGAAGTGGCACACCGAGCGTCCTCCGGAAACCAGATGCCACACGGTGGCATGAATTCAGAGGAGGAACGATGGCGGCCGGGAAGAACGGTTTAGGAAGGGCTGGTGCGGCCGACTTAGCAGAAATGGCCAGTGTCGGAAGTGTAGATGGAAGAGGGGGGATCTCGGCAGGGGGCAGTGAGTGGTAAGGATGACTAAAGCTGCAGGAGAGTTTATTTGGAAGATCATGTGCACGACAATCTGCAACGAGTCTGAAAGGCTGAAGGATTAAAAACCTCTTATTAAGCATCCATATTTATTTCAAGCCCTCCTGAAAGCACCCACCAGTTAAGTGGGTTTTTCCTCCCCAAGGCAGCATGGTCCCCAAAGAGAAAGCAGGAAGTAGG